GATGGCGGGGCCAGTTTTGGGCAGTGAGGGCACTACCGTCTGTTTCTCAGAAACGTGCTGCTGTGGGACGCTTAGTTGTTGTGCCTGTAGCAGTGTTTTTTTTCACGTCTGCCTTTCTGTAGCTCCTAGTTTTGCTTGGCCTCCAGGGATGCTCTGCGCACAGGGAGCTTATGGCAAGGTTTTAGAGGGGCATGAATTATGGATCAAAGTATGTGAGCTTGCTCTTTGGTTCATCATCACTGCAGCAAGAAATGCTCTGTGATAATACTGTTCTGTTGTGGTACGACATTTAAATTTTGTTGTTGTTCTAGTTGATCCCTCTGTTTGTGATCATCGGATCTGGAGGCATTGGCGCAGGCCTGTATCTCATGCGCTTGGCCGTGTTCAACCCTGATGTCTGGTAAGTGCAGAGTAATTCACGGTGCCCGGTCCTCTTGCTGCATGTGCTAAAGGAACCTTCACTGCCTCAGTCTTTATGTTTCGGAAGGCATTAATATCTGGTTCCAGTAAAACTATAAGTAAGTGGAGATTTCTTTGATTTGGAGATTTACTAGTTTACTGTGTGATGTTTAGAGACTTCTGACAAAGCGCTGCGTCCTTTCCTGTGGAAACCTACTTGAGTGGGTGACTCTCCATGGCCTGATAACCACAATACACATACAAATTTTATTTATTTTGAAGGTAGTGTGATTTTTCTTAATGTGTTTTCATAGCTTGTGTTTCTCTCAATAGCTGGGACAAGAAAAATAATCCAGAACCATGGAACAAAATGGCTCCCAGTGACCAGTACAAGGTAAAATGAAAAATACAGATTTTTAGGAAACGTAACAAAGGTCTAGCCTAGTGCTTTAGGATGGTTGAGCATATTGGAAGGTAGTTGAATGAGTGATGTATTTTGTCAGTTATGCAGCATTTGTTCATCTCTAGAACTCCAGGTGGAGCTGAATTTGAAATTTAAAACTTTATCCTAGACTTGGTTAGTAATGGGGTCAAGGGGATCTATACGGAAGCAATCATGTATATTGCACTGTAAGAAAGAGAATTATATGCAACTGAAAGAATAAACTAGCCCATAATGCTCATAAAGAAACTACAGGGAGAAAGACAAAACTTTGTAAGTTCTGAACTAAAGTTTCCTAAGCTCTTAAAATGTTGGCCCTTGATGTTTAATGTAAATACTAATCAGTTCTACTAGAGATTGTTTGAAAACAAAACAAATGTCTGTAAGCAACTGGGTGCAGTTGAAGTGTTAAGTAACGTTCAAGTTATCTCATTGAACTAATGAGGAAGCGTGCAAAGATGTACAAAACACTTGATAGTTTACAGAAATCATGTGTTTATCATGTTTTACTAAAATATTGTGCTAGATTCCTGTTAAGAATATTTTAAGATTATTATCAAGCTTCTAAAAAAACCAAACCTACTGTGTTTTCAAAGCTAATGTCTGTTCGGTAGCATATCATTGAAATAACACAAACCCCCTGCGCTCTGAAATAAAGTATGCTGTGGCTCTGTTAAAGGTCTGGGAAGAACTTCATACTTTGTTTTCAGCTGCTTCTGGAATGTTGCTCTTTCTTAGATATCTCAAAGAGGCAAATTCAACATATTGCGCAGCATAAATTCCTGGAGAGTGCGTGCCTTGGGTAGCGTTCCGCTTCTGTGCAAACACAACCTCGGGGTTTACCATATTTGGGTGTGTGTATCATTGGGGATTTTTTTTCCAAATCTGCACTGTGGGAAATGGAAAGACACATACTCTAAATAGAGGATGATTGTTTAGTAAAAAGCTCTGATATACTGGCAGTTTTAGCTCTCGATGAAATTGTTTTTCTTTTATAAACTTCTCTTTCCCATGTCAACTTCCTTAGTCTTCCCAAAGAGCAGAGTTGAAGACCTGATCATCACTGTAGGAGCTGCACAAAAAACTGTAATTTAGATGTGTTGTAGGCTGTTTTATTTTCTCTGAGGTAGTTATAAAAAAATTAAATTTAGGCATAACTAAAAATAATCAAGCTAACAGAAATATTTCTTAATTTGTGTTTTTTAGAGAAAAAATATATCATCGCATGCTGGTTGTCAAGTGAGGCTGGAATGCCAAAATGTGATTTTTAGGCTGTAAATTCATTTTCCTCAGTGACTCTTGGGGCTCTTGAATTCCATGTAATGACATCCAACTGTATTAATGTAAAGCGAGAGTTTGAAAGGATCAGTTTTTACTTTCCTTCTTCCTTGCCATACCTTGCAGTTCTAGATGCAGCTACTTAAACCCAACTTGGCTTTTGCAGCGCTGCTCCAGGTGTTCCCTTGTGACACACTCTGTTCACATACACCATGCTCTGTGCCACTTGGCGAGCTAGGGCTTGCCTTTGGTATACGGGAGCATGTGGATTTGGGGCAAAAAGGATGAACTCAGCAGTATGGAAGAACTTCCTGTGAACAGACTGTTAATTCTGGGGATGAAAGAAGAGGTTCCGTGGGTTTTCTCTAGTCATAGACACGAGCACTGCCTCATTTTATAAGCAGAGTTTCGAATACTGTACGTAGAATTAAGATAATATTAAAAAGTTGCTGCTGTCCAAGTTTTTATTTATTATTTTCTAGTATGCAGACAGAAACTGTGATTTTGGTTGCTTGGTGTGAGTTCAAGCAATACATGTTTTTCGTAAATACACTGCAAAATGCATAATCAAGCTCCTTACTCATTTTTTTCCCTTTCCCACCCCTGTTTCCTAGTTCTACTCGGTTAATGTGGACTACAGCAAACTGAAAAAGGACCGTCCTGACTTCTGAACAACACGCTCATCTCCAGAGGCTGCACAGAAAGGTCTTCCGGAAGCCGTCCGCACAATTGTCATGCTTATTCATCCAGGAAATACTCAAACTTGCCTCGTGCTGCACTTGGTCATGTGTTTGAAAGTGTTTTGATGAGGCTTAATAAATGTTTGAAACTTGAAGTGTCTGTCCTTTAATTTTGCAAAATGAGAATATCCTCCCGTTAACTGTTTGTTGTAGGATCGGTCAAATACTAAAAAAAAGCCGATTCGCGTCTCCTCAGTGAGAAAGCAAAATTGTTTTGTTGGACTTTAAACTCAGCGTGTTGACTTTAAGAGAAATAATTGCATGTTCATGCAGTATATCAAACTGCAAGAACTTGAAAGCACATATTCGTGTATGTGGATGTAATATATATATATATATTATTGTTTTGCCTGAGTTTTTCTGCTTGCTGCTTTAAGAAGTTTTGTAGCAGACGAGTCATTGTCCAGCAGAGAGGCAACAGATGTTGCCATATGTTGCTGGAGGGAAGGAAAAAGGGAGAAAAACCAAGTTCATTGCAAGAGGTTTTGTTTCTTTTCTTGATTTTTTTTTTTAAAGTCATAAGCAGGTTGTTAATAAGAAGACCATTTAAAATAATCTTAAATAATAAATATTTAAAATTCTAGGAATGGAAGCACACAGCAGAACTGGATACAGCATTGGACAAATAGTTAGATTTTTGGGGAAAAGCAAAAATACCATTCAGATTTGGCTCTCTTATGTCTCAGTCTTGTTATGGGGAGACTTTGCAAGTCTGTAACTTAGAATAGGTGATTCTTTGCAATTTTCTGTTAATAATCTGGTATTTCCTTGGATAAAGGGATATTTATAATTCTGGACTAAGACAGCGTACGGCTATTCCAATCTTCATACATTTCAGTCCCCTTAAAGTGAACTCAGGGTGTAGATAACCGTAGCTGCTGGTATAAATAACAAGAATTGATTCATAGATACTGAGCAGCAACAACTTTTGGTGGAGAAGAAAAAATATCCTGTGGTAATTGCAGAATAAATATTTGCAAAAGTTCGTATTATATGTGGAAAAATTTTACACGTCAGCTGGATGTGGTTTATCTGGTAGCAGTTTAGGTTATCTTCCTTTTTATTATCTAGCAAAATGGATTTATTTGCAGTTTTCACTTGTTTGAGAGACTCTCCGGGAATCTGAAGAATAAAACGATTGTGGCAGAGGTGATGTTTACAGTGGTGGGCAAAGTCTGTAAGCGTCCTTGGGGCTGTGGTTGCCGTCTGAATCCAAATATGTTTAGGAAGTAGAATGTTCTGTTGCAACACTTCTTCAGTTTTGAAAGTATTTCATCTCTAAAAATGAGAAGTGTTCCTAATGCGAGTCGCTTGGCCCTAGTTTGAACTGCTTTGTAGAGGGCTGTCAGCATCCAGTATGTTTCTCTGCATTTTTGTGGTGTTACTGTTTCTGAAAGAGCATTTTCACAGCTTGGCAGTGTTCCATTAGTGTTAGAATATTCAAGCACCTTCTTTAGAGTTTATTCTTTAAAGCTGTGTTCTACCTCTTTTTTTTCTTCATGAAGTCAAAGGTGGTATTTCCTTAAGACAGCATGAAGAAACAATTGCAGTTGGAATTTTTAGGATTTTAGCTTCTAACACTTATCTTTGGCTATTAATTTTATGAAACAAGCCAAATGTCACCAGAGGAAATACATTCCAGATCTGTTTTCAAGCTCTGCTTTAGCTGTGAAGATAGTTTGGTGTGTGACTATAGAATGACCTTTAAAACGAAGCAATTGTATGTTTAATACTGACTGGGCTGTGATACTTAGAAAGAAAGGTTGAAAAAGTAGTAAAGGAATTTTGAAAAAGTACCAGAACAGAAAATTACGTCTTAAAAAAAAAAAACTTTCTCCAGGACGAGGTGGAGCACAGCAGGTCTACGGGAATTCAGAAAAGTAGATGTTTACGTACATCATTGCCACAAGACTTGTTTTTCTGTCACTTCCTAGAAAAGCTTGCTCTTCAGTCCTCTCTTCTGAAATCCAGAAGCTGATTGACTTCCTGCTTTCATGATCCATCCGCTTTCCTTAGAAGTGGCCTTGGCATCAGTATTTAGTCAGGAGACGTTCCTGTGAAGCTCAAATCATTTCATCTCCTCCTCTGATCTCTAATCTTCTTAAGAGTGTCTCTGGATACCACTCTGATGGCATGGCTCCCAAATCTGTTAATTCTGACGCCATCTGGCTTGGATGAACTTTATTTTTTTAAAAAATAAATTCAAAATATTATTACCTGTGGTTGGTAAGGCTTAACACTTTCTTAGTAAGAGTGACATTAGCCAATACAGTGCACGAAAATACCCACCCCTTCCATCCTTGAGAAGCAAATCTAACTTTAGCATCCACAGTAACATTTATCTGAAAAAGTATTCAGCATCTAAAAAAGCGTTCTGTCTAGAAAAGTATTCTACAATATCTCCCCTTTTTTAAAGTTTCATGTAAATAAATCTAAAAAGTAATTTTCAGATTTTCCAAGCTAATGTTATTCTCACAGTCGCCTGTGAGGATTTATGAGACACTTTGATTTTTTTCTATGTTTTTTCTATTTTCTTGTCAGTCACAATCAACGTTAGTTTAGGTAAGGTGAAATGAGAACTTTAGCGTGCAAGTCAAGGCGAGACCAGTGCATTCAAACTTTTGATAGTTTGCTGTCAGCCTTTACCTGACATACTAGAAGCGATACAAGACTGCCACGTGGCACTCCTGCAAGAGACAGTCAGTTCTGAAGATGATCAGAAAATAGTTTATTAACACACAGCAATGCATACATTATGAATGAGAATAGAAATTCGGCTGGTAATATTCATGACTATTGGCAATACTTTATAACAGACACCGCAAATAATGTTTCTAGGGCCGTTAATGTGAATTACTTGGGACAAAATAATGCACTCTGCCGTTTACGGTTCATCACCGTAATGTAAAGACAACTTTTTGAGTAGACCTGCACAAGGCATAAACCAATAGACAAATTTATAGAACTTTTTTTTTTTTTCCATATTGGAAGCAAACTAACTATGAACATGAAATGTTTTCTAATTTTGGTTTCCCTACTGCAGGCAAATGAAACAAACTGCTGGGAAGGTAATGAAAACGGATTACTTAAGGGTGAAAAATCTGAGTGCCATTCTTTCTCTTCCAGTGGTGCCACTGCTGGAATTTAATGGGGTGGCACTAGTGTGTCTGAACGAAGATTTTGGTCCTAGCTGTTTAAAAATAGGGTTGAATCTAATAAGATTTTTTCAGTACTGATAACATTTTTTCTTTCCTTTTTTTTTTTTTCTAGACTGAGAGCAGGAAAACTGCAGAACTCATCATCAACAGGAAGAAAATGGAATTTCATCCCAATTTCAAGCTTCGTACTCTAGTGCCACTTACATCTCATGACAGTCTGTGGGATTTTGATAGAGGGTTAAGGGGATAATTTGCTTCAGATGTTGTTCTTATCTTCGTGATGTATCAAACAGATTGAACTTCCTAGCGTTTTGGAAACTTAGGGGAGAAAAATTCATCCCTGCAACAGAGACAATGTGCTGAAGTGCCACTGAAGTGGTTTTCTGCACATGCAAGTCGTGTCTCTCCTTCTCCTTTATAAAAATTCAGGAATTAGGACAGAACAAAAAGGAGTAACACACGCGGGATGGAATAGGCAGATGGTGCTACGTTAGTTTTTACATCAGCTACAGCAAGTTCTTGGGTTTCGTGCAGGAGCTCAATTTCTAAACATGTTTGACAAATTTCTGAACGTGTCTGACATATGCAGAAGTTGTTCGCTGCGCACGCTGGGACTGCTTTACCTATTAGGATGCAGTGAGAATTAGGCTGAGGTTTAAATTATTACTCCAAATGAAAAAAAAAGTAGTAGCGAAATAACTGCAGAAGCGCGACCTGTTCTGAATCCAGACTACTAATGACAAGTTTGTGTTAGCGCAATAGTGTGAAATAAAAATAAGCAAGTTCATGATGCATTTTGAAAATAGCTTGCTTTCCTCCTACATAGCCTCATAATGGCATTCTTCAAAGATTAATTTCTAAAACATTCTAATACTGTAAAATATATATGTGAATTGTGTCTGACCTGTATGCATTTTAATTTGCTATGCTTTCTCTTAATGATTTGAGTATCACTGTTTATTTTGCTTTAAGCTCATAGTATTTTATATCTCACGTTACATTATTGCACCTGAGCAAAACTTGCCCTACACCTTCAGACAGGGAAAGGGGTTCAGAAGATCATCTGTCTTAAACCCAGTGTTATTTTTATGGATGAAAATTAAACACCTGCATCACCGAAAATGTTGTTTAGCAAATTGTTATTCAGCATCAGTGAAGGGACCCCGTCCCTTTTACTGCAATGCAGTGTAACAAAGTAAGCTGCTGAATATATCTCTCCTCAGAGTAAGCAGAGACAAAATTTTCAGGAGCTGTTTTATGCAGGTGGCACAAGATCTAAATATGAAAGAACTCTTTTTGCCTGGATGGATGGACAGGCAGTGAAAAACCACGACCCGACCCGCTCTTTATCGAGGACCCCGGCAAGTGTTTGCTTTTACCAGTCCCTGGCAGGGGGTAACAAAGTCAGGAGCTGACTAATTGCCTGGGCTACAGCTTAAAGGTGATCCAGACTGTCATGCAGGACTATGTGGTGAGCATCAAGAAAGGTGACTGAAACCTTACCGGTATCAAATCAAATCAAATCTTTCGCAGCTGGCCTGGTAGCTGAAGTAAAGATTAAGCAAGTTTTTACAAATTCTACAATTTAATAACCTGAGGTTGAGCTTATAACGAATAGAGGACAACAGACAAAATTAAAAATGGAATCCTCAAATTTAGAGTATCCTGCCAAAGAACTATTTCCACCATGGAGCACAGCATGCAGCGGTAGGTACGATTTATATTGGACATAGCGAGAGACCTCCTAATCCTGAACCCTGCGTGCTCACCCCAGCAGTCAGATGAGGCTTTAGCTGCATTCTCTGTCTCGTGGAGCTTGAACCGCGTGCTTCAGAGACAGCGGAGCTCCTCTGGATGAAGCTTAATATTCCATTATCAACCTGTGTGCCCATCAAACGCAAAATAAACAGTCCAGTAGTGTATCTGAAATT